GCCAGGATATGTTCCACAGACCACTGAATATATTTGCGAATAACAGTGCTGTGGCTATACAGCCTGCCTAGTCACGGCAAGGTGTTAGATGTACTAAACAAAAACAAGTACAAATACATATATAAGTACCATGATGTACAGGGGAAACACCAGCTGATACTAGTGCATGGCAGAATGGCACAGCCGTGAGGGCATATATCAGAACAGGTATTGCCCACGCCTGAATGCGTTCAAGTGCAGTAGAACGCCGGTTATCCGGATGTCAACTATCCGGATGATCGACTTTCCAGATTGCCTGGTCGGACTGGACAAAAACAAAATTAGTAGGTTTTTCGAGGTTTTTGCTGATTTCCCCACTCGGGGCACCATTCAAGAGATGCACGCGATGTATTGAGACAGGTTGGAGTCAACACGTATAACGATAGTGTCATTTTGAAGAGCTGACATGCGCCTAGTTCCTGGTGTGCTGCCGAAGAGAATGAAAAATGATGAGAACATGTGGGAATATGCATGTTTAGATAGATGTTTGACTGCTCCCATATCCGAATATTCTTCTCATCCGAACCTCCTGGAGACAGCCTGTGCCCCAAGGGGTGCGGATAATCGGCACACTACCGTATGTCACTTCAAACCGTGGCTTCAGCAACACAGGGAGGCTAGTATGTGATCACAACATCATCATCAGTTCAGATGGTCTGTATGCGGGAGCAGCTTAGCTGTGCTGGGGCGGCAATGTACTGGTAAGGTGTCGCTCTTTCCCTCTTTTTGGCACTCCATGCTTCATGCCCATAATAAAAAAAGTGAAGATTCCACTGTACTCAGTGCACGTAAGCAAATCTGCTGACTCACTGCTAGGACATCTGATTCAAACACATCTATGAAAGGAGAAGCTCCAAAAGGGGTCATGGCATGGATGTGGTGACGTACTCTTAGCCGTCCAGTTCACGGCTTTGCTCTGATCTGGAAATGTCCATGCCATTAGTAGTTTCTGCACCAAGTAATCACTCTCAACACAAGCCCGGAGAGGGGCATGTAGTATCAACAAATACAGCCCACACACATGCACCCTGGTTTGTTGTTCGTCGGCGTTGTTCTCATTTCAACAGCAATGTAACATGAAGTACATCCAGTGCAGTACAGTACAGTACACATCCAGTGGTGCATTGTCTACATAGCATTGTCCCAAAGTGCCTTTCCAGTGGCCACCACTGCACAGTCGACAGCCCCCCCACCCCCGGGCCCTGCATACACACACATGCATGTGAATACATACTCGTACATACACGGTCAAACCTCGTTAGGACGAACTTCAAGGGACCGAACACAAGTTTGTTTGTCTTATCGGGAGTTCTTCTTATCCAGATCTGACAAAAAAATTGATATGCATATCATATGGATTGTATTTATGTGAAGGTGCATGCTGTGGCAAATGTAAAACATTTTTTTCATAACATAACCCAGCAACAGGTAACTACAATGTGTAAGGTATTCATGACAGCATTACATCCGCCTTGTAACATGTTTTGTCACTATAAGAAGCCTCGACTATCGGGAAAAACTACAGCCAGCGTACCCACGGGGACGAAAGTTCGTACCACACGCTGATTTTGTTCTAATCATGCTTGAAATTAGTTCGTCTTCATGAAAGTTCGCCGTACAGAGTTCGCCGTAAACGAATAATTTTGACTTGATATGATGTCTGGCCAACCATAGGGTTGGCTCTAGTTCATACTTAGGGAAAGTTCGCCTTATCAGTGTTCGCCCTAACGAAGTTTGACTGTACTGTATGCCGTACACTCTCCCAAAACTATGTAAGTTACGTCTCGGTCTGGCTTGTGGCGCTGCATGCATACAAACTACTCTACAAATTAACTAGTGCTGAGTCGGGTAGCATTTTCTCCGGGTTTCGGGTTCGGGTACTTTTCCACGGGTAGTACGGGTATCCGATCGTGTAATGTTTCCGTGGTAACACCACAATGCACCCCTTCCCGTACACACTGGGTAGACATGCAGAGTATTACAAAAATTTTGTACACGTGCATTGTAGACTACATGTCATTATGACGTCATCTGCGACTTCAGGTTTTCAGGTACTACAATTCTGTACCCGACTACCCGAGGTCCTCACCCGGAGTCACGGGTAGCACTGATACCCGGCTACCCGTGCTGCTGCATACCCCTAAAATAATAATTAACATTCCTGATATGCCATCCAAGCAACACTGTATTCTGAGCCGGTTTCACACCTGTCTGCATAGTGTGTGCTAAATGTTACCGTGCATGTAATTGTAATAGAGAGGTTAAGCTGCACGTTATTTTTGACGCGACGGAAAGTTCCACTCGCGTTATTTGGCTCGCACGTTGGAAACATGTGAGAGAGCCACCTCTCACTTCGAAATTTGGAGTTCCACGCTGATGACCCATTTAATGTGCAATTGCATGTCACATCAAAAAAATGTACACAGCTTTAATAACCTCTCTAATAATGCTTAGTACCTGATTGCTCCCGATGTCTGCTGTTTTAGAATCATCCATGGAAGATAAAGAACCATGCTTTGGGGAAGAATCCTGGTGGTGACGGAGAGATGTGAAGTGGAGACTCAAGTCATACCGTCACAACAACATCACAAAGAAGCCAGCTGGTCCTACCAATGTTGTTCTGAAGTAAGTGATACATTCACTGGTACTAGTAGTCTGGTATGCACTCAAAGTACCAAATGTCCTGCCTTTGAAACAAGTATCTCAATCATTGTCTTTTGTATTTAAATGCCGTTTACTCCAGGCCCACGGGTACACACACGTGCATGTGCACACACATATTCATGCGCACAAACATGCTAATGCTCCTACGCATACGCCTGCATGTACAACGACGTACCCATACGGACGCATTCATAAGCCATTGACATTCTGGGGTTGGGGTTGCCATGACTTATCGTTGAGCGAGAGAGCTTGAAAGCTCAGTGCCGTGGCTATCCTGTTTTTGCCTAGATTACCATGTATGTTGTTCAAACTGATAGAGACGTCTTTGCAATACAAAAAGATGTCCCCCATAATCGTGTTGCAAAGTCATTTCTATCAGTTTGAATAACGCGCATGATAACGTTAAAGGGGAAGTTAAGGCAAAAATTAAAATTTCACCAGTTGTAGTCTTCGGGGTGCTGAGTCGAATGGTCTTGGTCCAAGAAGGCTGAGACGCTCCCTTCCTACTTGAATCCCAATCGAACTCGCGCACTTCCACCGAAACTGGGTGACTGCGCCCTACTAGATGGGGATTTGTATGCAAACTGTCACTAAAAGCGCCATTTCGTTCTTATAAAAGCACGGATGACCGCGATTGGCCCATATGTTGTAGTCTTTTGGACGCTGAGTCGACTGGTTTTGGTCGAAAAGACTGCGATGCAGCGTTCCTCCTTTATTCCCAATCGAACATGGTTGAACAAGTGGTCACGTGCTCCTGGGTGCCCAAATCACCTGGTCACCACGCCAGCAGGCGACAACTTTCACACCAAGGTTCAACTCGAGTGACAGGACTGCACCCAAAAAAGGTCCAACAGGCTAGTAAGTTTTACCCTGCAGGCACGGTGACCAGGTGACTGGTGTACGCAGGAGCACGTGACCGCTTGTTCAACCATGTTCGATTGGGAATAAAGGAGGAACGCTGCATCGCAGCCTTTTCGGACCAAAACCAGTCGACTCAGCGAGTTCGATTGGGATTCAAGTAGGAAGGGAGCGTCTCAGCTTTCTCGGACCAAGACCATTCGACTCAGCACCCCGAAGACTACAACTGGTGAAATTCTAATTTTTGCCTTACCTTCCCCTTTAATCTAGGCCAAAACAGGATAGCGACAGCACTGAGCTTTCAACTTTCAAGCTCTCTCGTTTCACGTTATGGTGTTAGATTGGATTGGAGCCTGTGGGCACTTGAAAACCAAAAAAAGACTCTTAATCCCAGGCAGGCCCAGACATGCACATTCCACCAAGTGGTCATTTCACGTTATGGTCCTAATTTTGTTTCTTTTCTTTTTTCCACACATAACAATGCATTCGAATCCGCACTATCGCCCTGCATGCACTCCTCCATACACTTCTCATACAAATACATTCTAGCAAAAGTTGATCTGAGCTCAACTATTTCACGTACGGGAAATGAAGTATGAATCGGCCTTTACGTTACGATCCTGCTGTTGAGAGCCCTATTTCAATATGTGGCCAGCTGTCTTTTACGGTACGGTACGAGACATATACGTGACAGTGCCAGGCACATCACATGATTCGTGCCGGCCCTATGGAACACACATACACATTCAAGTGCTGTGGAGCCTGGCTAGCACCAGACACTACTAAAGTAACGTCTTTTGCGTAGCTTCAGGAATATGCTCAACGCAGTTAGTAATCTATAAAATAGTATGTGATGATAGGCTGGTTACACTGTGACGACGCGAGAGAAAACAGTTGCGCTATGATATCATCACATCCAATTGTCAGCGATTCACACTGCCCACCAGGGCAGACGCACAAATTGCCCACTGAGAGCTAGCCCGCAGCTGTCCACCTTGGGCCAATCACATGAGCGGCCACAGAGGCCAACATCCAGCCCATTGTGGGCTGAGTGATCCTGCCAACCGTGGGCCGCTAGCATACTCTCACTGCCCACTAAGGGCGCACAAATGTCCAACGCGGCCAGCAACCTGCCCGAGGAGGGCGTATGAACGGCTGCCGAGGCCAGCAACCTGCCCACCGAGGGCTGAAGCAAACTTCCCCACAAGGGATAAAGTGTACAGCTCTCCGAGGGCTGAATCATACTGCCTATTCAGCCAATGAACAGCTCCCAAGGACAACAACCTGCCAGCCAAAGGCTAAAGCATATTACCCACTGTGGCCGGTCGCCTACTGCCAAGTGAGGGCAAACAAACGACCACCGAGGCCAAGAACTCGCCCCGCTTAGGGCTCACACAGCTGCCTGGCATGAGGCGTCACACTACACACACATATACAAGTACAGCATGAGTACATGTATAACTATGTAGAATGTTTGTCAAGTACTTACATGTACATGAATAAAGGATTTGACCCGGTTCGGGGATCAGGCCGTGTCTCGGAAAATGAATAGGCGACGACAGAAAGAAAACAGGGCAGCATATGACCCTGGAAATCAACCGGCAACTCAACGGGCAATATAGCCTAGCAAATAGCTTGGATTTGATTGCAGGGAAAATGCAACAGCAAACTCGGAATTCTTAGAACATCAACTACCAACTTCAGTATGATCACGTGCATAGACTGAGGAGACAAGTAAAATATTAGTTCAAAACGCTCAAGTACTCGCACGAGTGTACCGTGCCGATGAGTTCAAAACTATGTACACTATCATTCCACTGTGCCTGGGGAGCAATGTGCAGCACAGAACATGCAACAAAGCCAGCGTACAAAGAGCCCGCTTGAATCCGGCAAAACCACACGGAGCTGACATCTCGATAACCAGCATCCTGGTGCTTGTGTCCACTGCCTTCTACCTGTCAACACAGCTATTCCGTGTATTCTGCCTCACTGCAACAAGACAAAAGTCGTATAGGGAAGCACACAAATTCAAATCAATCAAAGCAATCGTCTTCATCCCCAATCTGATGGATACCACGGCTCTTCCTGAGATGTGCACAGAGGCGCTGCTGTTTGTAGAGGAGCAGCAGCAAGATCTGAATGAATTCAGTCCCCCCCCCCCCCCCCACTGTGAGGTACATTGTAGTTACCGGTATCCAGTTTGTGCTACAGGGCTGAGGGTGGTGTACATTTGCAGGTCACAGTTTTGTTTACGTTCATTACGAGTGCGAAGGCTGTTACAGACGGGTGTCTCAGTTTCTTCATTCATTCTGATGAAACCTGGTCAAGTGACTATCTTTGGGTTTCAGCAGCCTCCTGACCTGTTACACCACTATTATTCTTAGACACCAAATCTTAGTCAACTGTGCATGGATGAACGGCCTGGTTTGAATTAGAGACCACCTGCAGTGTTGGTCCAGGCTTCATCTGTATGCGCATCATACAGTGTTGCTCACTGCACAGTCCCTTCAACCATGAATGGGGTACTGCAGTTACGTTTGGAAAGTATAGACCTGTGGTTTCTAAAAACTGTTAGGCCAGCAGCATCTGTACCACATTAAGCCTGTGACCACTTTGGGCCTGAAATTTCTGAAATAAATCGGGCTTTTCACTCACAGACAGTTCTGTACATGTGGTAAGAGGTCTACCAGAACAATCACAATCCACGTAATCAACGCATGCGCGACACTCAGTTGACAACCACTCACACACACCAACGGAAGCAGGGATTCTCATCCTCTGACAATGTGTACTCTTGCATGCACTACATACCATATACACTGTTTGTCATACATCACACCATGCTCACGCGTACACTGGACCATGTGAGATATCAGGCATCAGACCAAACCAGGTGAGAACCACATATGACAATGTGTCCAAATGATAAGCGAGCTGAACTTTCATAACACATGTGTACCACACAACATGAAGTTTTCAAGCTCTACGCACTGAAGATGGATACTTACAGGAGAGCTGTGCGGATCAGGTTGCGATTCTCCGGAGCACTGTCCTCCAACTGTGCACACAACTCATCAATGGTCAGCTCTTGTTTCTTCTTAATCAGATAGAGGATGATACAGAATACGCTAGTGACTCCATGTCCACTGCCAGTGATCGTTCTTTGGTTCATTTCATGGAACTGATCAAGGACATTTCGATAGTTATTCTTCAGATTCTTGTCCACCAGTTTGACTGCAACCTTGCCCAGCTTTCCTGCAGCAATCAACGATAAAATACTCGACCCGTCATCAATGCTCCACAGACTCGGTCCTAAAAGATAATTATTTCTACACGGTCAGTGGTGACAGTGAGGACACCCTTCGACCCCTCCCCTCCAGGAAATGTTCCACATCCTTAGTAAACCTCACTCCAAGGAACACTTGCTCACGATGCAAATGCAAGAAAAAGTGTTGAGTGGGGAGTCCATAACTTGTGCCCCCCCCCCCCCCCCCCGGAATAGGATCATTGACTCTTGATTTTTACTGCTCGTTGCGCCAGAGGCTGAAATATTGGTTTTTACTTGTTCTTTCCAATATGCCCTGTTGAACCTGGTTCATGCATGCCCTATTTGAAGTCAGTCTCTCTGAACCCGTCTGGTAGAGGTCAAGCACAAACAAACTACGGATGAACAAACCTCTTGCATTGTCATCCAGCAATGGTTCAAGAGCAGCTGTGAAGTCCTCCCAATCATCAATGTTTCCAAGATGCTTGCAGCTGCAGAGGTTGACCATAGAGGGATGGAACAATACGTAAAGTAGAGACGAGAAACGACAGGGAGAGGTGGTAGTATAGAGGGGAAGAGAAACAACAGGGAGAGGTGGTAGTATAGAGGGGAAGAGAAACAACAGGGAGAGGAGGTAGTATGGAGGGGAAAAGAAACAACAGGGAGAGGTGGTAGTATGGAGGGGAAGAGAAAACACGGAAGAACACTGAAGAGAATGTGAAAGCAATTATCCCAGGGCAATCTTCTCCCAACTATATTTACTAAAACAAAAGAAGTTATGCAGCACGGTATTGGATGTTTCTACAGGGTAAAAACTGTGTGAGTGTTGTGTGTGTGTGTGTGTGTGTGTGTGTGTGTGTGTGTGTGTGTGTGTGTGTGTGTGTGTGTGTGTGTGCGTGTGCGTGTGCGTGTGTGTGTGTGTGCTGGCCAGAAGAAAGCCACTTCAATCAGCTGTATGGTGTAGACCAGGCTAAAATCGGTGGCTGTCAATTCATCAGCCTTGCAACCTGTTGAATGGTGTAATCCCAGCACAAGTTGCCATGTTTAACATAGAAGTTTTGGGTGCTTCTACAGTGTAAAAACTGTATGTGTGTGTGGTGTGTGTGTGCACGCGCGCGCGCACGTGTCCGTACACATTTCTCTCCTCAAGACTAAGTGCACGACTTATACACAGTAGACAGTCAAAGGCGATTCACACGATGCGCATTCTCACGTTTGAGAGCCTGTTACCATGGAAATTTGCCTGCAAACAGCCAGATTTGCCTGCAAGAATCCAAATATGCATGCGAGCTCTTTGCTCGTAAACACTCTTTATCCAGGAACCAAAAACTCCTGAAAGTTACACGCAGCGGTGAAAGCGCGGGGAAGCACATGTGGCAAATTCTCTTTTGTAAACTTCACGCCTAGACAATGGTACTTTAGTACACATCGTGTACGACTCCCTGGTCGCACATCGAAATCCTCACCCATCCCCATTGTCACCAACGTCCTTGCAGGTACTACTTGTGCAAACTCCGAATTGCCCAATGTGGATCAAACGCTTGGGTTTGTCTATCATACTGGTCAGATCCTGTGCAGATTCTCCTGTCATGTGAATCGCCTTTAACTACATGTACTTGCACTGTGTGAGTATTGTACTTGCACTACCTGTCCTGTTCTGTCGAGCCACTGCCACAAGGGTCACGTTGGCCCCAGAGGGACAACGGAGAGAGAACAGGAGAACGCCGTCCCACGGCGTCCGGGACACAAACAACGAGAGGTCGCCAGGATTCAGGTCACCTACGACTGTCACCACGAGACTTACGTATGACCGGGGGAGAACCTGAGCAGCGGTGTCTATTCCTGCCCTGGACCGAACGGAAGCAGCGGCCGCAGGACGCACAGTGCACGCCACAATACGGCTCCACTGCGGCTGGGGACCGAGCCACACATTTGTAACGGGCAAAGCCACCACGGCTCAAGAACCAACGGCCGCAGCGATCACACGGACATGCTCCGCGCTGTTCATTCACCGGCTTTGCGCGCTCTGCAGTGCACTTGTGCCTGGCACGATCCTGGGGGCGCGAGAAAGACCTCTTGCAGACAGAGCAGTTGACAGCAGCAGCAGCCGCATCCCTAAGGATGCTGTGCGAAGAAGATGCATCAGCGTCTTTCGAGGTGTATGCTGACCTCCATCCGGCGCGAGACTCCCGTGCAGTTGCATACCAGCTACCATATACATCACAGGACTTGAGGTCGGACACTGCACAGTCCTTCCAGTGGCGCCGAGGACCAGGGGCCGGGCGACAAGCAAGCATGGTACCGAAAAGGACCTACCGCGGCATCCTCTCCGACTCCATACGGACCACACTGCCCAACCACTCTAACCGGCGGTTCGCAACCTTCATATTGAGAGGCTTGGGATCACCCCACAGTTCCAACATTTGTACGTTGGAAATGTGATCCCCCCAGCACTGTGAACGTGATACGCCAAGAATCGACCTCACACATCTCATGTGAAACACTTGCACTACACAAACATATGCATATGCACTACAATACTCAACCAGAGTAAACTCACCCGATAGTGGAACGGGATGCACTTGAAGTACTGCAAAACTGGACCGGCATCCACACTGGGCTGTGACTCCAGAGGACATTGTGGAACTTCTCCATCCACCAGCTCTGCAAAGTGATGGCATGATGTCCGTGGACAGGACTTCTTCTTATGACGTTGACAAGGACGTTGGTTGATGGGACACTTGCACCGCACTGCTCGGCTAGTACTGACATGCCGAAGACTGAATTTCTTCAGATCTTCTAGCTGCTCCTCCACATACAGCAGTGCCTCCGTACACATCTCAGGAAGATCAGCTGGATGAGCTTCTGATCCCAACCTTCCAATGGTAGAGATAGACGAGTCTTCAGCAGATATGGAGATTCGAATGCCGTGGTTGAAGTACTCCAGAACAAGCCAATAGTGTCCATAACATCTCAGCCGAGCAGCAGACTGGTAGAGAAGTGGCTCATGACGTGGTCGATACTTCTGCATGCACCTTACCACGGCACACCAGAACAGTGTCTGTGGCAAGTAGTTGCAACTTCCTGTGTACAGGTAGATGGTTGGTGCAGACTCCTCCAATAGCAAAGCAGCGCTGTCTTCAGGCATCCGGCTTACAAGGGCTGGGACGTAGAACTTGCGTGACTCTTCCTCTCGGTCAGGGATCTTCATACTGGTCTTTGTGTTGTACATGAGACCAGATTGCTCCATCAGCTCATACAGATAGTCACGTTGCTCTTCTGTCTTGGTGTACATTGCAGTTTGCTTGCTGTGTTGTTGCCAGCGGTGAATAATCAGACGCTCCAGCAAGACTCCCTTGCTTGTCAGCAGATCGTAGAGCTTGCGAAGACGTTTGCCCTGCTCAATCTTCGGCTCGGGAAAAAGAGTAGTGATGCGATTCTCAGCAGCCATTCCACATCGATGACTTTGGATGACAGGATTCGGTTCTCTGGGTAGTAGAGAATATGGCCAAGGTGATGTTGGTACTTCAACATGGCCTCCACATCAACAGACTGAGAGTGACTGTTCCCAGCATCACCACCACACACCGTGCTAGCAAGGCGGTAGATTTGCTCAATTGTTAGCCATGGGCATTTGAATTTCTTTGCTACTTCCTTTGTACCAATGGTGAATGGCAGCCAGCGAATGGGGATGGGCTGTTTGAACTGCGGTTCCAATTTCTCAATGAAATCCTGTCGTAGACGAATGATGGTTTCATCTGGATCCCTGCTGCCAGCAACAGTGTTGTCAACAAACACTACATCATCAAGATTGAAACCATACGCTCTTTCCTCAGCATTGGTGCAGATGTATTTCTTCATCTTGTCAAGCGATTGCTGGCGAGTTTTGCGCGGAAGCTTGTCGATGTGCGTGCCAATAGCGTAAACTGGTACGTCTGGGTCATCACCGATAACATGATGAATTGTGTTCAACCAGCTTTCCATGATGTCAAAGTTGGTGGAACCTTGACTGTTGTCTAGCCGGTACTCTTCACCATCTCTGCAAAGTGTTGGCTCGGCTACTTTTTCCATCGGCTTGGAGGCATCGAAGACGACTGCATAAGCACAGCGCCTTGAAGACAGAACCATATGTTGAAGTGCTGAGAACAAGCGCTGTCCTGCAAAGTCCCATATGTCCAAGAACACCAGTTCACGCAAGTCCTTGATGTTGTACTCACTGACGTCGGTATACTTGAGATCAGCAATGAACTGATCAACCCGCATTGCTGCATATGATAACTCCTCTTCAAGCCTCTTTGGATCGGGTGACGAATATGGTGATTCGGGTGTTGGACAGCTGCTCTCTGCTTCATGTATTTCAAGTGCCTTTTCTCTGACGTCAGTGGTGTTGGATCTGACGTTGTGGCTTGAATAGTGGAAACGTCTCCAGTAGCAGAAACAGGGATAGATGTATCATTTCCAATGGCAACTGTCGTTGTTTCCGGAGTCGCGTAAGCTTTAGCATCTGGAGATGTATCCGCAATCACACCAGCTTCATTAGGAATATTGGTAGTTGAAGCAACTTTCGCCTTATCCACACTTGGAGAATCGGCTGTGATGGCTGTAGCTGCCTTCACATTGCCACCAGCAGTTGCATCATGCCTTGTGTCGTTAGTTACCATTCCTGTACACCCGTTATCCTCAACCAAATGAACATCTGTTGTACTGCTACTTGGTGCGGATGGCTGAATGGTTATTTGCTGCAGGCCATCCTCCGCCGCTGGGCTCTCTATCATAGGCAAGGCACTTTGTTCAGTGACTGCATGTGGCCGGGCTAGGCGCTCTTCAGTTGTCTTTCCTTCTACTGCTTTGTTGAGTGATATTAGCAACATTAGCAGATGTTGCATTTTCTGATCGGCTTCCTTGCGCCAAACAAATGTGCCGCCTCTCTGTCCAATAGTGCAGACAGCTGTTTGTAGCTCCACACCGATGGTGCTGTCGCTTTTCTTTTCGAATGGCTCATCCACAAGTGATCTCTCCACGCTGCTTTTGCCTGAACGGCCAGGCCCGCATAGAAGAAGCCTCGCATGAGGGATTATTTGCTGTCCTTCTGACAAAGCCAGTTGATAAGCCTGTTCATCCTCTGCGTTCCAACCTAGGCCAACATTGTATTAAAACAGAACAAGGTGGGAACAACCCAATCAGCGACAACAACACACCTCAGTTCATCAGCCGCTCAACATTTATTGTCATCACCATGACACGGTTGTGAGAAGGTGCTTGCTGTCGACGAGGTTGGTGATGTCCCGTCTCGGCCATGGTTACAGTTCATTCAGAAAAAAATGAACTTCTAGCTTTTGGCCATAAATGGGTCAAACGTTGAGTTTTTTTAGAACTTTTTTCTGCAATCCCATATGGAATCCTCTTCCAATTATGTTTCTAAATAACCGACGAGGAGACAACAGTCGTAAAATAGCAATGAAAAATATCAATTGTGCACTCATAATCATGTATAAACAATTAAAATGAAACAATTCCAGAACGTTTTCGTGTGACCATCATCAGTGGAACATCGTCACATAGTAAGAATCACTAAAACAACCAGTTATATAGCTAGAGTAACATGAAAAGAAGCGTGAGAATGCAGCACAGCTAGCGGTTATGCATAACGCGTGTAGTGTGAACCTTTGCAGTGTATCTGAGAATGGTAGCAGTAGATGAATGTGGCAGCTGTGAGTGCGTGTGAACAAAAACTGGTGAGTGCGTATTATTTAAAAAGTGTGAGTGCTACAACATTTTCTTTTTGCTTGCATAGAACAGGGTCACGTGTGCGAATATATACAGCTTCCAACACCTGCAACTGCTTAAAGAAACGCGCGCGACAAATAACACTAAACCAGGAATCGTCAAACAACTTACGACAATCCGGACTGGACACCAAATGCTTGTAGATGGCAGACTTGCTCTTGTCGATGTCGAACTCCTCCTCGTCCGTATCACTCTCATCCTTCACTTCCCGTTCCTGCTCACCCTTACTTTCCTCCTGACCATCCTGTTCATCCCCATCATCATCCTCCATCTCCATCTCCTCATGCCATCGCTTCTTTCTCCTTGACGTGTTCACTGCTGCGCCCGTACTTTCACCTGCCACTACTGGTTCCGCCTTCTCCATTTTTCTCAGTCGTGTCTCCGCTAGTCTCTGGCTTCTCCTCAGATTCGTTTTTCCTCCATTTTCATTTCGTTCTCCTGGTGATCTTTCCGTTACCGCCATCGGGTTTGTTAATGAACTGGTTTAGTGTTATTTGTCGCGCGCGTTTCTTTAAGCAGTTGCAGGTGTTGGAAGCTGTATATATTCGCACACGTGACCCTGTTCTATGCAAGCAAAAAGAAAATGTTGTAGCACTCACACTTTTTAAATAATACGCACTCACCAGTTTTTGTTCACACGCACTCACAGCTGCCACATTCATCTACTGCTACCATTCTCAGATACACTGCAAAGGTTCACACTACACGCGTTATGCATAACCGCTAGCTGTGCTGCATTCTCACGCTTCTTTTCATGTTACTCTAGCTATATAACTGGTTGTTTTAGTGATTCTTACTATGTGACGATGTTCCACTGATGATGGTCACACGAAAACGTTCTGGAATTGTTTCATTTTAATTGTTTATACATGATTATGAGTGCACAATTGATATTTTTCATTGCTAATTATGTTTCTGAAGTTTTTTTGTCCAAAAAGCAAGCCATAGCAAGAATAGGATTTCGGCCAGGTTTTGCCCCAAAAGCACTGAATTGGGAAAAACCATCAAAATCCAGGCCGTTTGACCCCGCCTGCAACAGTGCATTCTGCGGTTCGAACCCCAGTTCAGGCACCCTTTTTGGACCCTTTTTCAAATTTCAAAGTTCGCAGCACTGCACTGTGTACGATGAAATCACGAAAAATCGCCAAATACGGGAGCTCGCCAGAGCCAGGACCCATCTTTTTATGAATGGACTGTAGGCCTTCACCACCTCAGAACACCCCGCTGTCAACCAATCACCATTGTTATCTATCAAACAAGGGTTACATAATGCTATATACAGTGCGAGTACATGCGTGTAGCTAGCTGACCGCCCTAGCTCTGGGCGGACTCGGGTGCGCAAGTCGCATCAAGGACCTGGGTGCATGGATTAGTGGTCACGGCTGAACTATGGTTGGGGAAATTTAGGGGCTTTGTTCGAACCCCCCCCCCTGATACAGTCAGGAAGTTGGCTAACACCCTCTCTCTTTGTATTGGCCGGTGTTCTCACTGTGCTATGAGATGCTGTAATAAATAAATAAATAAGTGCAACAACTAGGCACAAACCCGACAGGGTATGAGGACTCGTACTGAGACATTCGACGACTTGAAACCTAGCTCCAACACATCGCCGAAGCGCTAAACCAACAGCCTTCCAACTCGGAAGATTCTCGGTCAAGGAGAGACCGAAGAGGGGAAGATAAGCGTGGCAAGAATGAGTACTTGCCAAGTTCCACAGAAACAAGGTCTCTCCTTAACCTAGAAGTTAGAACCTTCCGAGTTGGAAGGCTGTTGGTAAGCGCTTCGGAGATGTGTTGTAGCTAGGTGTCAGGTTATCGAATTTCTCACTCAGTACTCTGTCAGTTGTGCGCCTAGTTGTTGCGCTTCCTGACCTTTCTACATTTTGTTATTGGCTCAACATCCGATT